GGGGCAGGAATCATGAAATTCATAATTTTTGTTCCCCTTCACCCATAGATGCTTTGTGCCAAATTTGTTTCAAATTGGTTCAGTGGTTGCAGAGAAGAAGCTGAAATGTTCAAATGTTAACGCACGACCCACGATGACTGACGAAAACGGATGGCAATTATATAGGTCACCTGAGTTTACTCAGGTGACCTAAAAATCATATTCTATGAGTTTTTGCATATTCACATTGAAACTTATCAATTTTCCAATAACTTTGTGATATCAAATCTATGAATGTCTCTCAAAGATATCACTGTTATCATAAGAAATGACTTTAACTTTTGGAATGGAGATCTAGGTACTGACACACACCATGCAGCATCATTCTCTCGAACCCTCCCGTTAGATGCTGGATGTACACCGAGTCCGGCCAAGATCTGAAGAACTCGATCACATTCTCCTCCAGACTCATCAGGAATTCCTACAAACAGAAACACAGAAAATCTGGCATTTACCTCGATATTGAACTGTACTATGAGTAGAACCACTTATTGAACTAAGGAACCCACTGCTCATCCCATCAAGTCACTTCAGTGATTTTTCCAACAAGAATGGGGTGATACTGGTATTACATGTGACAATTGATGAGAATTTCAGATGGATCTGAACACATACTCAGACAAAAGTTAAATTAAGTTGATATTTATGTGCATAGTGTCTTTGATGATACAGGTAATATTTTATGTTTTACTTTATTTACTTTAACCCCTATCAAGGTTTATATCTACATACCAGTGGAATGTGTTTCCTTCTCAGATGGGTTTTAATTTTCTTGTCAATCCTCTGGAAACATTCCTCTGCAGTATAAGATGGATATGATCTACAACATAAAGAAGTCAAGATAATTGTAGCTTTAACTATGTAAACATTTGGCAATATAACAAGGTAAAATCCAACCTCTCACAGAGAGATGACAACAAACTCAAGTACTGATACTAAAAAAAAATTTTTTTTTCACTTATACCGTATAATGGGTATTTTTTACGTGCTGCTAATTTTTACTAATTTTTACGAGTTTTATAAATCCGTAAAATTTAAACATGTGAAATTTCACAGAAGTAAAAAACGCCTCGCCTAAGTTTTCAACATCGTCTGTCTGAGTGTATCACTGCTATTTCGCTCATTACCTGGAGGCTATACAATTAGTGCTGACGACCATTGGTATTTTTGTGAACTTTTTAATTGATCATCAATTAGGATCAAACAAGTAAATCTTAACGCACAAATTATACAAACATTGTCAATTACCAGGGTTCTCTTACAGGACGCATAATTTCTGATAATGACTTAATTATTACAGACTGAAGTCTTCAAATTATATCCGTTTTTAAGACTTTGACCCTTTCTTTTTATTTCCTTCCAGTAAACACTTCGATATTTTAATACACTGTAATTCGTGTCCCCTGTAATTTTGTCAACTTAATCGTGATAGTTTGAGTTGTCTCTCTTTGTTTACGGTAAAATGAACACGAGCATGTGGTGCACAATGTGTATTAATTAAAAACAGGAATAAATGCATGGCATATGATACATAAAGATATTTAAATGAATAAACATATAACTTTTATTGAATCCACTCTCGTTATCACGGGAACCAATTCGTTTTTGTTTTTACATCGGGTTGTCCAGACACATTTAAAACATATATTTGTATGTTAACGCATTTAAAATGCTAAAGGATTGATCTGGAACTTCACCTCAGATGATTTTAATTTTTATGGACATGCCCAATTCGTAAAAATTGAACGCGTATATTAAATCACCCTATTTCAACCTAAATTCGTTAAAATTTACAGCAGTAAAAATTACCTGTTATACGGTATCAACATGGAATGAAATGATTGAGGTCTGTAAAGATGTGTAAAATGATTATGCCCAAATCTACGATGTTTTGAGAAACCAGCACCTGGAATTATTCAACTCTAAAGCAAAGGGTTTTAAACTTTTTGATTACACTCCTGAACTTAAAAATTAAAAGAATACACTTTACAATATCTTAAAAACATTGTCAAAAAATCTAAAAGCTAGTTTCATAAACAATGTCATATTCCAAAGGACAATTTCTGTTTATCTGCCTAAATTTTGACAGATTTACTGGTATCCCTCTCTTTCTCCCTTACATTTCCTTTTGTCGGTTGTATTTTCCGTCATCCTCTCCACCATCTGGAAGTCGCCCTCCACTTCCTCTTCCTCCTCAGTGATGGTTTCTGGGATTGATCTTCCACTGATGATTCTTTCCTGCTCCTCCTCTGAACTGTTCACAAAGCTGTTCCAAGCCTGTAAATAGAGAGAACTACCTCTCGATGATCTTTCATAAACCAGATTTGTCAGTTGTAAGGAAATATCTTCTTTGTTTATTCAACAACACATGAAAAGCGTGATGCCCACAATTACATTTTTTTGTCCACAATGGAACCTGGCCTGTGAACTGATAATTTCGTTCTTTTTTAATTCTGTTCACAGCAACAATCATATACAGAATTTTTATGCAAATAAACATGTACCTTAAAAATATGCTATAATAATTTTGTTGCAAGATAAACTAGCAAAGTAGAATAATTTCTCTGAGAATTAAATTTCACAGAATAGCTGTATTGCTGTATATTTTCATTTTGAATAAAATTGGTGTATGAATAAGCAATAAAAATTCTATCGATAAAAGATTATTTGGACATTTCCATAGCGAGAGCTTATAAATTAAGTAGGATGTCCATCACCTCTATCTGTTGCACAACTTCTCTTAGTTACCCAGGATTTCAATAAGTTTTAAAATGCTTTATTTTTTTACCTGCATCTTTTCTTTTTTATTGAACAGCTCTGCAAATGCTGAAATGGTTGGCTCAAAAATATCAAAGTCCAGCTCAAAGGAGTCCTCTTTTTCTGCTATGTTCAAAAGTTGTTTCACTGAAGAAATAAATATAAGATAATAACAAATAAAACTGAATGGAATCTGTCAGGGGTTCCGAATGGGAACAACCGTATTTGATGCAAAACCCCTGACATTGTGAGGATGCAAGTACCACATACCAAAGTGTTTTCCCTTAATTTATTTCAAAGTAATGGGCTAGTGATAAATTGTAACAGACTTTGAGTTGTGGTTTATGACAAATCTCTATGGACTTTACCGGTACACATGCTACATTAAATTTTAATTTTCTCATTTCAAAGTGGCATTTCTGTCAATTGAAGCAATCAATTTACACTTGCACTTCAAATCAAGTGAGAAGCTTCAGTAAAAAGCAGCTTGTTGCTTACCACTTTTGAGAAATGATGTCTGTAAAACACAGACAGGAATAGACTCTTCTTATATTAATGACCTTGGTCCTCCATTGTTGTTCCTCTTCTGAATCAAAGAGGAACTGAAATCTGTTGATTGAAAGTCCAGAGGTTAAAGCTTAGTACAGCCAACATCAATAGGCAAGCAAAGATACAAGAAGTAAAGTCTGAATCTTACCTGCTTTCTGCTACTGTCTGCAGTTCAGAGAGGGAGTCCTCCTCACTTCAGGATCCTGTTCAGCCTTAACATTATTCTGCTTAAAAAGATAAAAACAGACACCAAAAGGGGATCACTTGTACCTCATACAAAGTGAGAAGATTTCTAAAATAAACAAGTGGCCAATGGGCAATATGCTCACCTAAGCATATTGCCTAGTAAATGCACAAATTAGTCCAGTATTGAAAAGTATAAAATTTAGGAAGAGGAGAATGGGGCTTGAATAACTACTTGAAGACATTTTCATATCAATAACAATGGCTTAACTGTTCTTGAACGTAAGATTTTTTCCTATACTGTAGAGGTACTTTTTTTCCACGTGGTATTAATTTACGCTATGTACGCGGTCACAAATTCTCCACGGAAATTTGTCCAAGCGTACTTAATATAAATGAAAGGCATATTAAGTGACAATCTAGAAAATCTGCATAATTTTCTACTCGCGGATTAAACAAAATTTGAGATTCCGCGGAACTATGATCCCTTGGAAAAAAGAATGTCTACAGTATATTCCTTTGTTAAAATTTCATCCCCCATTGATGCCCCTCCCTGCCCTCTGGGATAAAGATTTGAACAAATGTGAATCTACGGTGTCAGGTCATTTCTCTCTAAAAATTTTTCTCTCCCAGGTTATTTCTCTCTCCTACCATTTCACGGTAGGCCATTTCACGATAGGTCATTTCTCTCTCTTACCTAGGTCATTTCACCCCATTTTTTTTATCTAGTCTAATATAATTATTTACAACTCAATTTTTTGTGTTATTAACTCGTATCTGGTCAATTAAATTAATTTTATTAATTTATGACTTATAAAAACTATACAAGAGGAAGTCTGCCGGTATATTATTTTCAGGAAAATAATTTTATTATTTCAATTAAATTAATTTTATAATAAATTTTATAAAATGATTTTTTTTTATCTATTCTAATTCATTATATAGAACTCTATTTTGTGTTATTTACTCGTATCTGGTCAATCAATTTAACTTTATTAATTTGTGACTTATAAAAAGTTTACGAGAGGAAGTCTGCCGGTATCTTATTTACAGGAAAATAATTTTATTATTTAAAAAAAAAAACAGATACCGTTGCCCAGCCCTTGCTACGTGGAGGCCTCCTCATTAAGGGCCATAATTTTGAAAGAAAAATTTAAAGCCAAATTTAATAAATTTAATAAAATTATAAATTTATGCCTTAGCTAATAATGAAATTTTGTCTACGAAAAGAATATTATAATAGAAAAGGAAGAAAGTCGAAACAAAAGAAAATTTTTTTTTTTTTTATTTAAAATTTACTTTTACCGATTGATTTCATAATGTTCAGCGTGACAACTATGAAGAATAAAAAAATAAAACGGATTCAAATAACATTCTGTCACTCTAGATCTTACGACAAAAAGGGAGAAAATGAACATAAGTAAAATATCTTTTTGTAGAAAAAGGCTACCTGTATATCTATAAACCATGTATGTAAATATTTACGAAGTTTTACTTTTTTGTACAAATTTTATTTACAGCCAAAAATGTTAAGAACGCGAAGAAAACAAAAATCTAAGGGGAAAATGCTATCAATGAAAAAAAAACCTGAAATGTAATATTTACATATATACAAAAGAATACGGCATGTACAAACATCAATATCCCAAGAATTAACGCGAATTTAACACCGAAAAAAATCAGACTATCAAAAACTTACTCCGTATGGCCATAAACACCTCCACAAATTCGCAAGAAATGGCTTGTAGTGATAATCTCATCGTCATAGTTTGACCAAGCTTGCCGAATTTTCTTCTCCACCCTTGTGCTGGTTATTCTGGCATCACGAGACAGGTCCTGTGCGGAAACCTGGACGTGCACAATTTCAGCCTCCTTCTGCAGCAGAGGAATCAAGCGGTAGAACCCAAGGTTTCCATGACCGGCTTTGCCATTGAGACGATTGTGCCATCCTAGGTAATTTTTAAAGAATAAGCAAGTCAATAATATTAAAGGGGGGAGGAGGTTACCAATAAATATTGAAGGCACATATATGAAAAAGAATTACCTTCGGTATCGTTGTTTGTACGAATCTCCTGTTTGTAGATGGACCAGGCTGGAATAGGGAATACAGCGTTGTTAATCTACTGTCTTTCCATGTATAGTCTGTCAGGGACTTTAGAGAGGGAGATTCCTGAACCTTTTCTTGCATTGCCCGGAATGTGGGGTTGATGTCATTTGAAGGCAGAAATGGAAGGGCCATTAACTGCTTGATGAACCAGTGAGTTGCCTTTTTTTCACGATAGGTGGCAGCTAGTCCTAGTTCCTGCACGCGTCTCCATAATGCCTGTGTCCAATGGAAGACACACCCACGGATTGAAATGCCGGGTAATACTTCTCGAATGGACTGCCAAGTCGCTAACAAAGGCATATTGATATTTATAATTTCACTTTTTAAACTATTTAAATTTAAATTTTTTTTTATTAATACAGGTACACTAGAGTACTATTTTTGTTTGCGTAATGAGAATAGAAAAATGAAAATACCCTTTTCAAAGTCCAGCATAATTTCCTCAACAACGGGTTCATCTAGCCGTTCTAATATGGCTTGCAAAACCTAAAGGAACAGGAAAATCGAAATTATTTCTCTGATTTGCCATAATATTTTACAGGAATAGTTTTACGCATTTTGTCACTTTACTTGTGCCTCACCATCACATAGTCTTCCTTCTTTCTCCTTGACATAAGGGCAAATACCAAAGGAAACTGTTTCTTTTGGCCGCCCTGTTGCACAAAAGCGTGTATTGACATCAGCTGGCCCGTCTTATGGAAAACTTTGGGTACAACCTAGGATGTAAAACACACCCGTCCATGTTGATTTTTAAATGTAAATCTGATAAATTATAATATTTAGTGTATTTATATTAATATAAATTGCATTGAAAATGCCTCTAGTATTGGGATACTTTCATAAAATATAATAGATGTACATGTATATTAACCTTAAAAGTGCCGTCCATGTACCAGCGCCTAGCGTCCTTCAGCAGGGATAGTTGGAAAGGGGAACTGAATATTATGTGCCTCTGTCCATCTGTATTGATGTCAGCGACAAGGAACTCTTCGCACTGGAGGAAGTCAAGGTCCATCTAAAAAGAAGTATGATATGTGTGACATGTGGATAGGGGTTAATTCTCCGAGAAAAAGGGGGAAAATGTCACCAATTAATATACCTGGAAATTAAGATTCACTGGTTCCTCAGGACGGAACTTGCTTCTGAATCGATTTGCCACTCTCTTAATCAGATGGAGATTCTACACTACCTAAGGATGCTTCCATATCAATATGACTATATATGGCTTCGGTGTTATTGAGAAGACTTTTCCTATATATTTTCCTATATATTCCCCCATCCATTGGGGCCCTGTCCTACCCCTGGGGATCATGATTTGAACAAATTTAAATCTGCACTACATGAAGATGCTACCGTATAAATATGACCAGTCATGACATTTTTTGTTTCTGAGAAGATTTCTTCTTAAGATTTTTCCTATGTTTAATCCTGGTGAATGTAAAACTTTGATGTCCATTGAGGCCCAAACCTTTACCCGGTAGAGACGATTTGAAAAAATGAAATCTTCACTACCAAAAGGATGATTTCCTATCAATATGACTAATTGTGGCTGTTGTTCTTGAGAGAGAAAAAATTAAGTATATCCCTATATATTATATATATTTTTGATCCCCTATTATGATCCCACCATGGGGTCTTGATTTGACTAATTTTGAATCTACACTACCTGAGGATGAAGCCACATAAGTGTCTCTTTCCTGTTTCAGTGGTTCTTAAAAAGAAGATTTTTAAAAGATGTCCTTAATTTTTCACTTATTTGTAATAATCTCCAATTTGAAGAGGGAGTGGGCCTTCATTTGAATAAACTTGAATCCCATAATGGCATTTACTCAAGGATACTCTGTGCCAAGTTTCTTTGAATTTTGATGAAGATGAAAATGAATGTGAAAGTTTACAACAAAGAAGACAATGACATAAAATGGACAAAGGTTCACTTCTTTTAACAGCCATCACTTATATCAAAAGATTTTCTACTAAATTGGGTTTGTGATCAGTTTCTCTCCTATATGAGATGTTTACCAATTCTCTTTCCGTGCGCCCTTGCGAACTTAGCCTGGGACAAAATGATACCCAGTATCCGTCTGCTTCCACGTGGAGGCATCGCATAGGACTTGTTGTGGAGAGGCTATGTACTGGCAGGGGAAGACAAAAATTCCTTCCTTTTTCGCATTGCTGCTAGCCAGCGGTGATGGCTGAAAGCGAGAGGTGACAAGCACACAGACACTAACACCAACACACTAGACGCATCACACAACATTTAGCAGACGTTAGTAGTTTTAGTAGCTTGTTACTTGTTCAGGGTTCTCCATCAGCTGAAATTTTAATGTGTTGCAGAGTTTACGCAAAGCACTAAATTTTCACGGTATTTTAGCGATCAAATTCGCAACTGAATCACTATTCATTATAATTACTTAAGAATACAGGCACACACTTTTAAAAAAAAAAAAATCACTAATTCGTTACAAAAATAGTATGGTTGAACATATTAGCACATGTTGTGAAATGCAGAGGAAATTCTTGCCTACAAAGTTGAACTACTTACAATTTTTTAAAGCAAATTTGTCATAATTTTTTTGTCAATTTTCTTGATCGAATTAAGGAATTACAAAAAAAATAGACTTCGGAATAGTAAAATACTTTTAAAAGTTCCTTGAAAATTTAAAACTATTTATTTACATCAAGTAAATGATTTTGGTTCAGTGTTATGTTTGATTTACATTGCAAACATAATTCTAGAGCCATGGCTCTAAAGAAAAGACATTTAAATATATTTTTAAAAATAATACAATGTACTTTAATTGCAACTACTGCAAGTACCAATTAAGCGTAACATGGAAGTTTGAAATCCAATTATTTGTCTTTGTTCCTTCATGCGTCAAGTCCATTGAGGTCTAGGAAATAATTGATCATGCAAGGTGAAAGCATAATTAAGTGATCTAAATATCGTATAGAATTGAAAGACGGTAGAATTGTTTGATCAATTATGTTTCAGATAGAGAGGATTTGTATGTTTCAATTTTTTTTTATTATCACAGATCTTACTGTGTCCGCAAAATTTTTAATGTGTCACACAGATAAAATTTGAATCTTTACTGTGTCGGAGAACATTTTTCTGTGTCGGGACCAACACAGTAAAACAGCTCATGGAGAACCCTGCTTGTTAGGGTGTTAATCATGCAAACCTTATCCACCACAAGCACTAATCATGCACTAACTAACAAATATCTTAATTACAATAATAACCTACACTCCTAAAGAACTCTAAGCTGTCTAACTATCAACTAAAGCCTACTTACTAAATCAAACTACAACACAACTGCACCTACCGGAAATACTATACAAACTAAACTTAAGACTAAGAAACACCTTTGTAACGCTATTTACAACTACTATACACCCCTTACCTTCTGAATGCAGCAGAAAACACTCCAGACTGACCTTCAGATGTGGCCATCTCTGCTTCCTGTCAATTCAAACCCAAGAGGTCAAAGCCTGACAAAGCCAACATATTGGGAAAAGGTGCTCAGAGGTCAAGTATGAATCTTACCACACTTTCTGCTCATGAACGCTGTTGAATGGGAGAGGGACTGCTCTTCACTTCAGGATCCTGGTCAGCCTCAAATTTCTTCTGCTTAAAAAGAGAAAATAAACACATCAAAGGAGAATCACTCACATTCCCTAACAAATGACAAACTTCATTTAAATAATCAATTTGTTACTTACAACTTTGAGCCATATTGGTTGCTGTATAGAGATGGGAAATGGACTCGTCATCTCGTCTTCCCCAGTTGGTCAACCCTGCTCCTCCAACATTGTTCCTCTTCCGAGACCCTGAAAGTATAAAACTGGCACAATCTTAGTAAAACTTCAAAAGAATGCAACAAATCACGAAAAGTTACTTACCACTTTGGGCCATGTTGGCTGCTCTATAGAGATGGGAAATGGACTCGTCATCTTGTCTTCCTCTGTTGGTCGACCTTGCTCCTCCATCGTTGTTTCTCTTCTGAGTCCCTGAAACTATAAAACTGGCACAATGTTAGTAAAACTTCAAAACAATACAACAAATCACGAAAAGTTACTTACCAATTTGGGCCATGTTGGCTGCTGTATAAAGATGGGAAATGGACTCGTCATCTCGTCTTCCATTGTTGTTCCTCTTCCGAGTCCCTGAAAGCATAAAACTGGCACAATGTTAGTAAAACATCAAAAGAATGCAACAAATCACGAAAAGTTACTTACCACTTTGGGCCATGTTGGCTGCTGTATAGAGATGGGAAAAGGACTCGTCATCTCGTCTTGTTCTGTTGGTCGACCTTGCTCCTCTATCGTTGTTCCTCTTCCGAGTCCCTGAAAGTATAAAACTGGCACAATGTTAGTAAAACTTCAAAAGAATGCAACAAATCACGAAAAGTTACTTACCACTTTGGGCCATGTTGACTGCTGTATGTAGCTGAGAAATGGACTCGTCATCTCTTCTTCTTCTGTTGGTCGACCTTGCTCCTCCATCGTTGTTCCTCTTCCGAGTCCCTGAAAGTATAAAACTGGCACAATGTTAGTAAAACTTCAAAAGAATGCAACAAATCACGAAAAGTTACTTACCACTTTGGGCCATGTTGGCTGCTCTATAGAGATGGGAAATGGACTCGTCATCTCATCTTCCTCTGTTGGTCGACCTTGCTCCTCCATCGTTCTTCCTCTTCCGAGTCCCTGAAAGTATAAAACTGGCACAATGTTAGTAAAACATCAAAAGAATGCAACAAATCATGAAAAGTTACTTACCACTTTGGGCCATGTTGGCTGCTGTATAGAGATGGGAAATGGACTCATCTTCCTCTGTTGGTCGACCTTGCTCCTCCATCGTTGTTCCTCTTCAGAGTCCCTGAAAGTATAAAACTGGCACAATGTTAGTAAAACATCAAAACAATGCAACAAATCACGAAAAGTTACTTACCACTTTGGGCCATGTTGGCTGCTCTATAGAGATGGGAAATGGACTCGTCATCTCATCTACCTCTGTTGGTCGACCTTCCTCCTCCATTGTTGTTCCTCTTCCGAGTCCCTGAAAGTATAAAACTGGCACAATGTTAGTAAAACATCAAAAGAATGCAACAAATCACGAAAAGTTACTTATGTTGGCTGCTGTATAGAGATGGGAAATGGACTCGTCATCTCGTCTTCCTCTGTTGGTCGACCTTGCTCCTCCATTGTTGTTCCTCTTCCGAGTCCCTGAAAGTATAAAACTGGCACAATGTTAGTAAAACTTCAAAAGAATGCAACAAATCACGAAAAGTTACTTACCACTTTGGGCCATGTTGGCTGCTGTATAGAGATGGGAAATGGACTCGTCATCTCGTCTTCCTCTGTTGGTCGACCTTGCTCCTCCATCGTTGTTCCTCTTCCGAGTCCCTGAAAGTATAAAACTGGCACAATGTTAGTAAAACTTCAAAACAATACAACAAATCATGAAAAGTTACTTACCACTTTGGGCCATGTTGGCTGCTCTATAGAGATGGGAAATGGACTCGTCATCTCCTCTTCCTCTGTTGGTCGACCTTGCTCCTCCATCGTTCTTCCTCTTCCGAGTCCCTGAAAGTATAAAACTGGCACAATGTTAGTAAAACATCAAAAGAATGCAACAAATCACGAAAAGTTACTTACCACTTTGGGCCATGTTGGCTGCTGTATAGAGATGGGAAATGGACTCGTCTTCCTCTGTTGGTCGACCTTGCTCCTCCATCGTTGTTCCTCTTCCGAGTCCCTGAAAGTATAAAACTGGCACAATGTTAGTAAAACATCAAAAGAATGCAACAAATCACGAAAAGTTACTTACCACTTTGGGCCATGTTGGCTGCTCTATAGAGATGGGAAATGGACTCGTCATCTCGTCTTCCTCTGTTGGTCGACCTTGCTCCTCCATCGTTCTTCCTCTTCCGAGTCCCTGAAAGTATAAAACTGGCACAATGTTAGTAAAACTTCAAAACAATGCAACAAATCACGAAAAGTTACTTACCACTTTGGGCCATGTTGGCTGCTGTATAGAGATGGGAAATGGACTCGTCATCTCGTCTTCCTCTGTTGGTCGACCTTGCTCCTCCATCGTTGTTCCTCTTCCGAGTCTCTGAAAGTATAAAACTGGCACAATGTTAGTAAAACATCAAAAGAATGCAACAAATC